GAGCTCAGCTTGTCCTCCTCAAACGTACCACTCGTTGAAGTTGGGGGGCAGGCCGGGGTTGTGGCTGGGGGTGGCAGTCTGCACGGCCGAGGGGGGCGTTTTGCTGGAGTCTTTGCTCGTGGCGGCCGCGGCGGCCGGGGGCGTGGAGGACTCGTAGCCCGAACTCGCCGCGGGAGAGGAGTCCGAGCCCTGCGTTTCGTGGACCTGGAGAAGGAAGGTAGAGACGGGCGATGAGACGCGAGGCTAGGCCTTGACCCCGGCAGCTGGCCACGCCGCCCGGAGAGGGGGGGGCGATCAAATGCAAGGCCGCTCTCGGCAGCGCCTGGCTGGAGGCCGGTTGCTCGTTAGAAGCCAGACTGCGAGGGAGAGACCTTCTCTTCGGCCCCGTGGCAACCTTTATCCTCAACCAGGGAGGGAAAGACATGCTAGGAAATGCTCTTCCCCTCCCCTGTGGAGGAAAAACAGAGAGGGGGCAGCAGCCCAGGGGAGCCGGGGTCCCGCGGAAGAACCCCCGGCCGGACTGCAGGGAAACCTCGGAGGGCCACGCACACCCCCTTCCCGTTCCAATGAGAAGAGGGGGGGGGGTGTTTCGCTATTCTTTAATTCTTTCTTTAACTGTTTGTCGGGTTGAGCTTTTAGTTCTCCAGCCCATCCACACCGTCGATACCCTCTTGAATGAGTCTTCTAGGGCCAAAATATACTCGTTTATAAACCAAGAATTGAGGGGGGCCGGACACATGGAGAAAACTGTTCCTTAGTTAAGAGAAAACAAGGCCTTGAGTTTGGGCCCAGCTGCCTCTTCTAGGCCAGAGCCTTCAAAAAATGCTTTTAAAAAAAATTCCATGTAAATGGTTTTTTTAAAAAAGATCCCTCCAAGGTGAAGGGCTAATACTGTACAAATAAATATAGTTAGGCGATTAGGATTATACACATGGAGTTATCGATGCTCACAAGTGCAGTATCTAATTTTCCATTTTGATATCTTTAACCACAAAGTATATACATACACACACACATCAAACTATACATTAATAAGTGGTGTCTCTATCACTGCTTGGAGGCCGACTAGGTAACAAAGGGGGTTTCATTACCTTCATGTGTTTCCGCAAAGAGCTGGGGTGGGTGTAGGACTTATCACAGACTTTGCAAATATATGGCTTGTCTGATGTATGGACGTGCATATGTTTCTTTCTGTCGCTGCTGTTTGCGAAACGCCGGTCACAGCCCTCGAATTCACATTTAAAAGGCTTTTCGCCTGCCGGATTCGGAGATGCGTGTTTCCAGATGCAAAGGGAAGGAAGAGGACCGGGTTAGCCGCCTGCTTTGGAGGACAGGGTGACTGATAGTAGACACATCTATGACTTTCTGGAAATGCACTTGTTAGTCTCTGCTTCCTCCACTGCCAGGCCCACCTGCCCCCCCTTTCTTTCTAGAGCAGAAGTTTCTTCTCCCTCTTAAAACTTCAAGCTTCTCTCTCTGTGTCTGTCTCTCTCTCTTCCCAGCCTAACATTTGCTCCTGGCACACACAGGACCTTTCTGTCCTAGATTTTAAAAAGGGCTAAGCGAAAGGAAGGAGGGACGGCGGTGGGGTGGGACGGGACACTTCTCAGACAATGGGGTTTGTTATGTTACAGTTCAATTAAATCCGCTCCTTGTTGCTTTTAATTTGTCCCTTTCCAGCGCGAGGGTTCCTGGAAGCGGACAGTCTAGGGAGAGGGGAGAAATGGACGTTTGCGGGAGAAGGGGGTTGGGGGGGCGGAGGGGAGGGAGCAGGAAAGCCCTCCGGATATAAATTGTAGAGATTCAGACAGTTTTATAAGATGTACTCAAGGAGACAAGAAAACGCCTCGGTTTCCTGCTTGTACGTTATTCCCCCCCCCTCTTTTTTTGGGGGGGTGGAGCAGCTGAATTGAAAAGGGAAGAAATAAAAAAAATAGGTGGACAAAAAGTATCACTGATTTAATTAGAAGATGTGCCAATCAAGGCATTAAAAAAGAGAAGAGAGAGAGCGGAAGTAACTGAAAATTAGATGCCATTAGCATTTGTATGGTTTCCTCCACAGAATGTCTCCACAGAGCTAAATCTCTGGTAAAAGCGACCCACACTTTAAACCGCTGCGCCCGCGCGCCCCCCCCCCCCCGGAAAACACACACCGATTTCTGTTTGCCTGATAAGCGGAGGGACGGGGGGGTTGTCTGAGAGCAAGTGGGAAGGGGGGGCAGGGGAGGGGAAGAAAACAGAAAGACGCCCCCTCCCCCCAAAAACCCCTTTCATCTCCTGTTTTATAATACTTTCCTCCTGTGAAATCGGCCAAAATCGAACCGGCTTCGAGATCCCATGGGGGGGGGAGAGAGAGCTCGCTTTAGAAAACATCAACCACAGCAGCAGCAAAATGTTTCTTTTCGGTTTCTTTCCGCTTCTACCCCGCCCCGATCCTTTGATCACCCTCCGCCGGTGCATTCCCTCCCCCCCCCCCCGCCCTAACCTCGATTATTCACAGCCCAAAGAACCGCAGCGGGCAGAAAAATCGAAGCGGAGCGGGCTTCCCTTCCCGTCCACCAGCACCCCCCACCCCCCTTAAGGGACGAGCGGCGGGGCTGTACCTGTGTGCGTCCGCTTGTGGATTTTCAGGTTCTCCGAGCGCGCGAAGATTTTCCCGCAGCCGGGGAAGGGGCAGGGGAAGGGCTTCTCGCCGGTGTGGACTCGGATGTGGTTGACCAGTTTGTATTTCGCCTTGAAGGACTTGCCCTCCCGCGGGCACTCCTCCCAGTAGCAGATGTGGTTGTTCTGCTCGGGCCCGCCGACGTGCTCCATCGTGACGTGGGTCACCAGCTCGTGCATGGTGCTGAAAGTCCGGTCGCAGCTCTTTTTGGGCCGGCTGAGCGGCGGCGGCTGGTGCGGCGGCGGCTGCTGGGCGGCCGGCTCGTCGATCCACTTGCAGGAGAGCTCTTGCTTGATGGGCTGGCGCATGTAGCGGAAGAAAGCCCCGGCGGCGGCGGCGGCGGGGGCGTGGTGGTGGTGGTGGTGATGGTGGTGAGCCGCCGCCGCCACGTTCATCCCGCCCATGTTGACGTTCATGGGGTTGTAGTT